GAAGGCTACAGGAAGTATATAAGTGATGTCAGCAGGTATCACAGGAAGGCTACAGGAAGTATATAAGTGATGTCAGCAGGTATCACAGGAAGGCTGTGAGGGCACCTTCCCGGCAAGGATGCAAAGACAGGCTTATGAATAATCTGTCACGACAATAAAAGTAAAAAGGCAAAGTCTTAGCACAAAGGAGTAAAATTCTAGTCGAAAATAAACTCTATGCATTACTAGTGAATTATAATCATCCCTATCACCATTCTTTTTTGTTTACTAAATCATATGCCTGGTTTCATATCTGCTTCGGTCAGTGAACACAAAAATGGCAATCAAGTTTTCTGTACCTGCCTACCTCCAAATAGAAACATTTCAAAAACTAATGGGCTGTGTTTATAACGGTCTCCAAAGGTGTGTGAATACCTTGGTCTCAAAAATATGCCTACCCTGACATTCAGAAACCTGGTCTTAACTCTTGATTAACCCAAGGTCATTTCAACTATAAATAAATTTTCATCTGCTAATCTTCAAAAAGGCCCAAGAGCTTTTGTTCTTGTTTTTTATACATACACATATATAGATGTGTGTGTATGTGTATTTATATACATGTGTACATATATATATTCTGTGTGAATACACATGCACATATGTTCATACGTATTAGCACCTCTCAGATACGGTAATTTAAAAGGTTACAATAAAATTTTCTATTAAATGATCTTATCTCAGTTTTTACTACTTGGAATTGTAATAATTAATGCTCTATCTATTTGTATGTTACAAATAACACCACCACAAGATTTAGACCTCCTTACAGCTGCCATACCCAGCTTACAGCACTTTCATATGCAAGTTTTTTAATATGTAATTGGATGGACGACTAACAGAGTTTTCAAATGAAATATCAAAGGGAAAGAAAATAAAATGTTGTATCAACAGTGCCATTTGGAATAAAAGCTATAGTAAAGGCACCCATGCGTACAGCTCTGTCTGCTGTCAATTTAAATGATGCCTATTCACCCAACAATACTACTATTTCAAACCTAAAAGCTAAGGCAAAATTCTATCAATAATGAGATAATGCCATAACAGAGGCAAGCATAAATGGGCTAAAAATACAAAGGGCCTACTGTGGGCAAATGACAGAAAAAGGAAAGAAAATGAAAAAGTTGAACAGTCATCTAAACTTTTATGTCAACTCTATTTATCTCACTGAACCCGCTATCTTCACTTCCATCGTCAGCATCTACTGGTCCCCTAACAAGCACTTTGAGGTCAGAAAGCCTACTGGACATGCAGTCAGTACTGCCTTTGAACACATATTATATCTAGTCTATGTTCACACTTAAGGCCACTAACAATTATGAACAACAATCACCTTCAAAATCAACACTCTAACTGGTTCCCTGGTTCTTCCACAAATCCATCACCTGTACTTGGCAAAGGGGTTTGATTCCACAGCTGAGCATTCTAACGATGCTCTGCGAATGGAAATAGCCCATCATTCTTGATATGGAAGGAAAATCATGAAAATTTTATATCTAGAAATATTAATAGTATAAATGAAAAGAGCCAACACTTGAACATGGATGGAAACAGATTAATATTTTAAATATCATAAATAACTTTAATTATTAGGCAGATTTGGTTTTTGGAACACTTAACTCTTTGTGCCTCTGTCTGGAAAAAATTCAACTAATTCAACTTCATGCCACTGGCCTTTTCCCTTCTCGACAGACCGTTTCCCAATACTTATAACTTGCCCATACCTGTACTTCAAAGTATAAACCTAGCAGTACATGAGTTTATGGTCTAATTCAGTCTCATCATTCAGACCAAGTACTAAATTTGAAAGCAATAGCCAAGACATTTGTTCAGGATGAGGCAGTGCCTCTGAAAAACTGAATCCTGTTTTAAGACGGTTTCCAGTTCAACTGCATTTCCAAAGTCCAACTGTTACATATGTCTTAGCCATTGAACTGAGCTTTTAGACCAACACATGAATTATGATGAAAATTAACATCTGTTTATTGTTATAATATCTCCCATAAGGAGGTATATCTTATGAGGATGATGATAAAGATGTCTGATATGCTGTTTGGAACACATATCAGAGAGATTTACTAGTCTTTAAAAATCCAGTATTCATTTATGAACCAGTAGACTACATGTGTTGCTGTAATAACTTATCTTCCAGGAACCTGAGCCTATATTTAAAATATATATATATATTTTTCCAGATACCTGTCTTAATCACTATCTTCTCCTAGTAAGAGAAAGCTATTACCTCATTATTTATAAAATTTGTTTTTATTAACTATTTACTTTGAAATGCATTACTAAGTACATTTTTATAGCTCATATAAATCTGTTTTAACTAATCATTCATTCATTCATGAAAGGCAGAACAGTTCAGTGTTTAAGGATCCGATTTCTGGAGCCAAGATACTTGCATCAGAATCCTCACTCTGGGGGCACCTGGGTGGCTCAGTCAATTAACTGTCCAACTCTTGGTTTCGGCTCAGGTCATGATCTCAGGGGCCTGAGATTGAGCCCCTACGTCAGGCTTCGTGCTCAGTGTGGAGTCTGCTTGTCCCTCTCCCTCTGCTCCACCATGCTCCCTCCTTCCCTTCCTCTCCCCTCCTCCCCGAATAAAATCTTAAAAAAGTCAGCTGTGATTACTGCCATAGTTTCCAACTCTGTTTCTGCTCCAGACCCTGGCCCCATATATCAGATGTCTCACTAGTCCCTGCAACCCACCTCTCTCAACATAAGCTCACACGCTGGCTCACAGAGCGGCTCACTTTCCTTGTATTCACCCTTTCCCTAATAACCAGCGAGACACACAATGACTGCCTCCATCAACAAGAGTCCCCAGAGTTGCTCCAGGCAGGAGTCTGGCAAAGTCCACTATTTGTTCAAGGCTCAGTTCAAATGCCGTAACAAAGCCTTCACTGACC